TTTTGTTCTCCAGAGATAGAAGCCCATATACTCACCACATGCGCCGATACGCCTTATGCATGGATGCGCTACCAATGTGAACCCGCTGACGGTGGTATCTCGACACTCAGAAAGTCATTTATTGGAACCGGCCGAGTTGAAACTCATTTATCGGAACGACCTGTGATGGAGTATTCCAGAACACCTACCTATCGTCATCAGTTTCATTGGGACCGCTGCTATCCAAGGCAGCTGTATCCGGGTGGTCGTTGGTCACTTTATAATGATCGAGCGTACATGTTACAAGGAAGTCGCTCTCTCTCTCATCTGTGTAGTTCCCCTTGTCCTCGAGAAGTTGAACATCCCAATACCCGTCCGTTCACCAGCTGTTCTGTACTCGAGAATCTCCAATATGAACACTCGAAAAGACCAGAAAAGTGTGCACCATTGATTTGCAGCTATGCCCTGCAATCATCCTCTTCAACGGAAGCGCTGCCAGGTGATTGTTTGCCCAAGCCAGAAATAACCGCTGACGGGGAATTCTGTGACGGAAAGATAATTTTGAAACTTCCAACCGCGAACCCGTGTGATCCAGTAACCATGTACAAACCCAGTCCAGTGGCCGCTTCAAGTAGTAAGGAATGCAATACATATTTTGAAAGTACACAATGCCCTCCAATTAAACTTCTACTAAAATGTCGTTCTCGAAGCTTATCTGTTCCTCGAAGCTCCCAGGTTTCCGAACGTACGCTGCGTCCCTATGCAGTGACTTACATCTGTCATCCAGTAGGAGTCAAAACACATGTAAAGCAATCAGAAGAGTGTAGAAAAGAATCGACGGAAAACGTTGGAGATTGTCGTGCCAGATACGAAGCTTTTTATCAGTATACCACTCCAGGTAAATCTAGCAGACCCAAAGAGTCCAGTAATTTGTTACGATTTCAGTCTTCCGACTACCCAACCTTTCCAAGGAGAGCAGACCCGTCCAAAGGCCCAGCATTCAATCACAAAGCTGAATTCGTACATGAAGGAATGACACGTAGCGTTGGAAGAAGTGAGTTGGGAGGGAATTTCAGAGGAACTGCTTACACGGCCAAACCAAGGGATAAGGAACAAGCCATCATTAGAAAAACGCCACAGAGTATGCCTGCAACGCCCAGGGTTAGCGGAGCTTCCCGTAAACCATTGGACAAGGTACAGTCAGGTTTGCCCGTAGTACGATCCCCTGCAGTATCGGCGAACTCCTATTCGCACTCACAGCAGAATAAAGGAGGGGAAGAACCAGCATTTGATACCGTCCCTACACATCACCCAGTGACTACGGAAAGCCCAGTAAGATCAAAAAACGAAACCCAAGGGACACCTGTTGGAGCCAGTCCGAGAGTGCAGTCAGTGGAGAGTCTCAAACACTATTCTGTATCACAACCAGCACTCATGTCTGGACCGGTCGCGCAACACGCATCATTGTTAACATCTGAACCGAGTCCAGACACGCCGCGCGTAAGTACAGCTCCTCCCAGCGAACATTCTTCCAGTAAAAATGCAAAGTCTGATACAACTAGGAACTTTTCTGAAGCTTCGGTTACTGCAACACCTCAGATGCATAGAGACTCAACGTCGAATCGACCCAAGTTTAGTCATGCTTCTGTGTCACTTTTGACTGCAACGCCTCTATACAACTGGGGATCAATTGTAAATCCAGAGGCAAAGGAAATACCCGGAGCTCCCGTGCCATCGGAGAAAATCTTACCACTGATGTCTCCTGAAAACCCAGTAAGCCCGGTGTCATTTCATGTTGAGAAGGACGAATCAGCATCCCTCGTGTCCCCGAAGACAAAGTCCATTGACAGAACTTCAGCTACATCCATGGTATCTCACAAATCATCGGTTTCGCGTTCCATTGTCCAAGATGCTGATGTGGATTCGCCAACCTTAAAGTAATCTGCAAACCGTTCGTAAACAGAAACCCGCCACGCATGCTTGAATTTTCGTTGCACCGTGGTGCAACACGTCTCCTGGCTCAAAAAATTATTTATTCTGGCTTTGTGTCTGAATCAGATGGATCTCGTAAGCTTAGTGGGAACAATCATATTCGAGCGAACTGCCATTTATCTACCATCTATGTGATATTTGTATTGTATAATGGTTTCGTCCCAAGTAAAAACCCTACACAAACCTGTACTTTTACAAACTGACGAACCGTACCACACCAATTTTTCCAAATCCACGATGGGCAAAGTTTTGTCGAGTCCACCAAAGTGGTACACTAGTTGAACTTAGGATTTCGGCCTCCAAATAGGGGGGCTCAAACCAAGCGAACTGGGATCAAAAGACAACCATGGACAAAAGCATTTCATTCTGTAGAAGCAAACGGCATCAGTATGGGACTGTGAACTCCTTGCCTAGAGGATCTCTTACGTTCATTAGGCTTCTGCATGGATGCATGTATTCGACAGTAGCTGGCTAATCCGGCCAGTTCTCTCGCTTCACTCTAAGATGCAGTTGCTAGGTCTTCAGTTTACTAAATTAATATTGAATATTTCTGACCCATAAAGCACACGATATTCGGACCGCGACGATTCTGCTCGACCTGGATACCAGCTAAATATGGGTGTCTCAAATGTCTCCGAAGATAGAGTGTGACTCATATGACAAACGAGAAAAGTGTGAAACATCGTATCATTCATTTCTTAGCCGTTGCAAATAGTGAAGTACAACAGTCCTCAGTTTGCTAAAAAGTTCGTTTTTGTTGTAAGTTGAGGCTAAAAGTATTAAGAGTGGAACTTTATTCTAATAAATGAAAAGCTTTAGGCAAAAAAATCTGATGCCAACAAGAGTTTGCCCCAACTTTGTGGTGCACAGAGCAAGGGGTCAAATTCGCAACCTGGATAGAGAAGAGGCTGAAAAGTCGGTAGGCGCTGCAATCTGACGGTGTGAACCAACATCCACTCTAGAGGCCTTCGATGAACTGATTGCACACCCATCACTAGGAGACTGGATCTTGGTGCGGTAGGACGGTTTGTGCACCTCCGCACCCATTAAGTTTTGATGGGAAATGTACGTAGAACGCTCACCGAGTCTCTCACACCAAGATGATCAATGGACACGGCTCTGAGGAACAGTCCTTCGCTATTCTAGATATGCGGTCATTTGCCCCTCAGACTGTCTTACGACAACCTGTCTGCGGCCAGAATTTCGACTCGAAAGCTTTGGTTGGTAATCCTAGTCGTCCTCTCTTTTGAGGTCCTGGATATTCTGGTAAGATCACGGCAGTGATGGACTGCACAATTAGATGCATCATTCCACATCGGCCGTCGCTAATACCCTCAACCTGGTTGTCTTGCCTGTTGTATACGACAGGAACAAGGGTCAGGAACAGCCTTGTCCAATCTATTTGATTCTATCTGGCTAACATATGGTGGCTTACTCACTCACCATCGTAGGTCGTGTTGACAATCGCAGTCAGAGAAGGATTAGCTGCCTCCAGCTTGAATTAGACTATTGAATCACTTAGTTTACTTGAAGACACGAGTATTGGAGCAATAGTGTTTGCAATAGCGACTTTAAATCCTGGATGGGGACACCGAGACGGGCCACATCAATGGCTAGAGACATTATCCGACATGGCTCAGTCGCGCCCTTAATGGTACTCATTCATCCAAGCTGTTGCCTTCAATGCACAGCTCCTTTTCCAACCCCCACTTGACAGCCCACTGACAATGCTGGATTTATACACCAATTTATCAGCTCCCGCCTCCAATGCGCAGCTACCTACCCCCCCACCCCCCAAATTATCGGTGGACGAAACTGCGGCAGCTACAACCACTGTACGACGAGTATGCGGTTATTACAGCTGACAGTGATGATTGATGATGATATGATGATTAAATCTTGGCAACCTGACTTCAAGGGTGCATTGTGTCAACCAACTCATCCTGCTCAACACGCTTGTGCAACAGATCATGATCCGAAAGTTTGCGAATATCACACGCTATCCGTATCCACATAGTTGTGTGTCTACTGGTGTTCGAAAATAATGCGCACTTTTTTTCCATTTTCCAACTACTGATAATATGAGTTGACCGTTGTGTGCGTGTGTGTGGCGTTTCTCGGTTCGTTTGTGTGCAAAGATCAGCTTCACTTGCAGAATAAAACCATTATTGAAGTTTGAAAATCACCACATACTACTATGCTCGGGAAGAAAACATCTCGCGATTCGCGCAGGACTTTCATGATTGAAGTCATCATTTGAAGAACACGTGGTGTGCGCGTAACCAAAAGAGGTTAATTCCGCCACCGCAGAATAACGGTGCTCAAGTGCAGTACAGTCATACGCCTGAAAGGGGTCACTCGTAGCCTGGTCGTGTCTACCAAAATAAAGATCAAGTTTTCGAAAGTCTTGAGGTTCAGTAAAGTTGTTTAGAGTTTGACTGGGGACAAAGCGTTTTTGGGTACCTTAACGACCAAACGGAGACCTCACATGATTCATAACCTATTATTCCACTACATGTTTTGTTTTCCATCAAACATAGTGTTCTTTCATACCTCCGAACAGCAATACACGTACTTGTAATTGTCGAAGTTTTTGCGTTGCTACATCTAACCTTTTGCACTCACCTTCGGTAGCTTTCGAAAGAAAGAAAGAACTTGTGTTTAGCGGTTGCTAGAGGCGATGAAGTTGTCCTCTCCTATCAAACAACCTGTCTAAGGCCATGTGAAATGTAGCATACCCTGCATGTGATGAACATGACTGATACTCTAAGAAAGAACTTTAGCGGTTGCTAGAGGCGATGAAGTTGTCCTCTCCTATCAAACAACCTGTCTAAGGCCATGTGAAATGTAGCATACCCTACCCTGCATGAACATGACTGATACTCTATTCGTTGCGCTATTCCTTATTCTCTTGTTTTAATATTCCATATGCTGTACATGTATGCCAATTCGAATACATACGTGCTGGTTGTTACGCTTCACTGAATTCTGGATTTCTAGTTCGTCTGGTTATACTGATATACGTA